GTATTGCGAGGTAACGCATAAGTATTGCGAGGTAACGCAAAAGTATTGTGAGGTAATGCAGTAGTATTGCGTGGGAACGCAAAGGAAAAAAATTCCTCCATGTCCCATCGTGGGCTCCGTAGGACTAAGCAGTGGGTAGCTGAAAACTTGTACTATTTTCTCACAACCTGAAGTCACTGACCACTTTAGCACTCAGCCTAGTGACACACTGTCTTAAAATATTCATTTGTAACAAAACATCAAAGAAAAAACTGCTGACAACTTCAGAACACATGAAAGGAAACCAGTTGAATAAACACAGTTGTTGGAAAGAACACATGTTGTAATCATTATCTGGAGGAACTACAAATCTATTATCTGTGTTCGAGCTGAGCTTCTCAACTCAAAGTATTACCCAATAAGAAACTGACATTTCTGTGGGTTTTGCTGCATCAGCACATTATTTCACTATCTTGGTCTTCTGTTTCTTGTGTGTTTTAAGCTGTCAGGAGCCTGATTTGTGTCTGTCTTGTGGACTTGACGGTTGAGACAGTACCTGTTCCACAGCATGTAAGCAGGTGCAGAGCTGAGACTGTAAACTGAGGACCGACTCCAGAGGCAGTCGGTGTAGGAGCTGCAGTTGATGCAGTGCACAGTGGGGATTGTCTCCGCTTCGTAAGCTCTCCAGCGCCTCCTGCAGGAGAGAGATCTGCCTCTGAGCCACCTCCTCAGCCTGCCGGGCTCGGTCAGCCTCAGCAACTGATCTCGCTGCGTTCGCACGGGATTCCTCTGCATCCGCCTTGAGGGCCGCCCAGGACTGGAGGGTGGATGAGAAGTGTGTGTTTATTCACATTTATTCTCATGAGAGACGGATGAGAAGTGTGTGTTTATTCTCATGAGAGATGGATGAGAAGTGTGTGTTTATTCTAATTTATTCTCGTGAGAGATGGATGAGAAGTGTGTGTTTATTCTCATGAGAGATGGATGAGAAGTGTGTGTTTATTCTAATTTATTCTCGTGAGAGATGGATGAGAAGTGTGTGTTTATTCTCATGAGAGATGGATGAGAAGTGTGTGTTTATGCTCATTTATTCTCTGAGAGATGGATGAGAAGTGTGTGTTTATTCTAATTTATTCTCGTGAGAGATGGGTGAGTTTGTGTTTATTTTCATTTATTCTCTGAGAGATGGATGAGAAGTGTGTGTTTATTCTCATTTATTCTCTGAGAGATGGATGAGAAGTGTGTGTTTATT